GGTTATGAAATTCTTGCTGATACAGTCATGCAAGATCGAAGGAAGTAAACAGACTGATAACTTAAAACAAACAGAAATAAAACCGTTTAAACTGCTAAAATACATTGTAGGGAAGAAAAATGTTTGTAGTTATTATACTGCTTTATAATAGTCCCCCTCTGTTATCTACATCTTGCAAACTACAGTTTACAAAAAAATATAGTAAACAGATTCTGATTATTTAGTTGTTGAGATTTGAAAAGGTAAACAAGACTCTGAAGCATCTGAACAAACGTGGAACTCGCATTGTTTGCATCTTAGCGCTTATGTTCATTCTAAACACCTACAAAAAGCCAATACTTGGCTGTGAAGCTGAACTGTGTATCATCTTTTCTGAGCACTGAGGCTATCACTGCAAAGCATGTCGGTCCATTCTAAGCCTTGAATAGAAAAAAGGAAGAGATCATTAAATTATAATTTCCCCACACAATTGGTATAAGCATTTCCTACCAACAGGATTAGCATGAACGCAAGATCCCAGAATAAAGCTGCTCAGCAGTGAGGATGGCAGTTTAGTGTCTAGTAAATTTGATTTCTCTGAAAATCCTGACACATCATAATAGCAAAATCCTATTTACTGTAGCAAGCAGGATGGATAATACTATTTAACACCTGGTATAGTATGTGCCATCAGCTCACAGCTTTGTGCTCTGTGTGCTCATCTTACCTTAAGGTTAATGCTCCTTGACAGCATACATGGTAAGTAGAATCCCCAAATTAAGTGCCAAACCTACGATTTGCAAATCCTTCCTCAAAATTTAAGCCATGAAAAAAATGGCCGCAGATAAGAGGATCACATTTCCAGAACTTATGTCTATATTCTCAGGCTCTGATCTGGCAGTAAGCTCCGTATATACGGTGCAGGAGTCTCCCTGCAGAAAGGCCACTGAAGCCAGCAAGGACATGTACAGAAATTATAGAATCGGCAAGGAAGAACTACCAGGGCAGTAACTTGTTGACTGCTAAATCTGTAGCGCATCTAACATAATGCTGAAACGTCCAAATGCCAACGGATTAATTTTATTACCTTACGTCATACGCATATTCACACGCATACTACTCAATACTTACTGAAAGTATTTCTAGGAATCTCACGAGCATAGAGATTTAGCTCGACTGAGAAATATCCTGATTAATATGGGGATACATATCTTGCTCATTCACACTTATAAACTAAGTAGTTGTGTCATACAGCAGTGTATTAAAATTAATTTCCTTCTGCTCCTATGACTAGGGGCATGATTCTTGTAATGATGCATAATAGTATTAGGAAGCAGCGTAACAGGAAAATAGTTGCATTTGCCGAAGAAAATTGGAACCAGGGAGAGTTGCATCATTCTGGAAGCAACAGAAGCACACGGAGATACACCTCGTTGTGAACGTCTACATGACACCAAAACTACAGGCTTAAGAGGGAGCCGAACTGTTCTGAGGTCAAAGCAACTGGGTGAAGGGAGGACATGGCGTCGACCGCTCTGTAGACAGAATTAATGGAACGGTTGGTGTTGACTGGAACCTACACATCACAGCAACATCGGAGATGTAAAGATGGTTATGAAGTCTATAGCCACTGGGGCTTGGAATTGACCTTGAAACCAGCGGCACGATGGAAAGATGATGGACGTGGAGGAGCTGAACAGACAAGTGATGAATACAACAGGACAGAAGCGTGTGAGTGTGTGTGTGTGGATACACACATGAAACTACGTTAGAGAAAAAGGTTAATAGGATTGTTCTTCGAGGTAGGAAGCTGCACGTTCTGCCCAAGACTTTAGTTTTCCTTTTTCTTGCTCTGCTATTTTAAAAGAAAAATCAAATGGTTTAAAATATTATACCTATTTTACTTATATTTGTTATATTAAATAATTAAGATAATATAGAGTACACATACACCAATGATTCGAATACCATCTTTTGGGTTCGGGTTTTTTTGCTGTAGTCAAGAAGCACCGTTAGCCTGTCAGCAGACAATGAAAAACACTGATAATTTTTTCTCAAAGCTTAATGTGCAAACTCTTAAATAACAGCTTTACATCCTAGTCAGATATACAGTATGAGAAGGTTATTCTTTAACTCCTTTGTTAAACTATCTCATATTGTTTTGCTGCTGTGGAGCATGTAATAACTCATAGCTTATGTGCTATCTTTGACCTAGAAACACTGGCAGCTGTTAGGGGAATCGCTGGGTTTTTGGAAAGTATCAAAAGGTTTTTAGCACATAAACCAAATTTATGAACAGATATCGCCCTGGAGAATAGAATTGTTTATGCTTTAGTATCACAGCTGTCACTGGTGCACAGTTATTTTGTCCTGTATTAATCCCCTGAAAAGGTTGAGCATCTTCACTCAGTCACTGAAATATTTTATAATTGACAGACTTCATCTGGCACTGAATATGTATAATAATTTTCTCCATAAGGAGCACACTGTGCTGACACTAATCTGTTCTGTTGTCATCTCCCTTTATTATCAATGTCTGCATTGTTTTTTCAGAAGCACTGAAGAACACAAATACAAAGCTTCTAATTGAAAAAGCTAAGTAATCAAAAAGCCAATTAATCACACAGATGAGCTCTGACACTCAATGATGCAACAGACAGAAATACCACATACGCATAACTGAAGTATTTTTAAAGTGTGCTTATTTGATGTAAAAATGATCTGAGATTGTAATTAGCATTCTTTGTCACAGGTGACAGACTCATATTGCACATTTCTTCATACTGACATTACTTCTCTGAGCTCCACTTGCTCTGCTCCCACCTTACCTGCCGTTCTGATCTTTTCTCTGCTGAACAGCCGTACTCTGACTTTGTGTACCTTTCCCTGAAATCAGGACAAGTTTAGGAACAAATAAGCAGCCTATTATTGTGCTCTGTAATTTCCAAAACATCAGGCCTTTCCAGACCTTCCTTTTTTCTTAAAGCTCTATTTCCATCCCAGTGCTCTAAAATCACCAATCCTGAAAGTCACAAATGACCTTAATAACGGCTGCGGGCACCAGCCTCCGTGAAGCTGGGATGGCAGGAGACATGACCTCTCTGCTTCTGCAGGTTTTCATTCTGTAATCTCCACATCTCTGCAAAAGTTCAAAGCCAGATTTGGAGCACGGAGTTCACCTCCTTTTAGAGCTCGACGACTCTTTTTTCACGTAGAAGAGATATGCACAGGTACTTTGAAAACAAACCGGATGACAACTTGGCAAAGCAAAGGTTTCTTAGCTTACAAATAAGAAGTCAGAATGAAGAGACCAGCCTTAACATCACGAGAGCTCCAGCCTGAAAACAGAGCAAACATCATCCGTGGCATAAGGCAGTCAATTCCGAACTGCCTGCTGTAGTCCTGGAGACTTCCAAGCCCAAGAAGAGAAAGCAAGAGATGGCAGAGTTCACCTATTCCACACCACTTGGAGGAGAACCCTTCAGTAGTACTCAAATACAGTTATTTGAAGTTGATTATCTCACTTGCACACAACTATGATATGTTCACACATGTGTTAACGTGTGAGTCCACGTTGGAAGTCTTCACTTAAGAGAAGCAAGCGAAGACACTGTATCGGCGACCTACTTTAACATTAAAAATAACTAAGAATAACATCTCGCTGCAGAGCACCTTAAAAAGGTAAAAGAAAAGCTTTCAAACAAAGACTCATGGTTAATCACACATCCTTTGCCATGAATTACTCCAGTACTACTTGGGTCGTAAGGATAAAATGGAAGGCCGATAACTAAGAGCAGAGGTACAACCACTCTGTAAGAAGCCAGCTTGGGTGAGATAATGCAGGTGCTTTTTCCTCTAACACCAGCCAGTTATTTGAGAATAAGGAAGGTATTCTGTGGTTTTTTTGTGTGTGAAGGAATTTAATTATTAACTGTTTAAATAATGCACAGTTTTAGAATCATTAAACTAATTTACCCTCATCCTTTCAAACTATTTTTCATTGCCAAGAACATGACTTCATTAATGTCATCTTCCAAAAGGTAGGACAAAACACTGAGACAGTATCTGATATGCCCTCTATTTAAAATATTCATTAAGACCAATTATACACACTGATAATTCATGCAACATGTTCGTCTTCCTAATCCGTAAAAACAAGGGGTTTTTCCTGCTATCCTGCTAAGCTGCATAAATGAATATATATCATATTAATATAGTTTTCAAAACTAACTAAAAAAATCCAAATTAATCAACAATAGGTAGGCTCAGGAAGAAGGCAGAGGGGGAAAGGAAGCAAATGTATTCAGGCTGAAGGTTACAGCCAACCCAAGATCTAGAAAACGATGACAGCAGTAATTATTTGAAATTAACATCCTATAAAATAATACCCTATAAAGAATAGGAATGTTAACAGCAATATGTTGAAACATTTCTTATTAAATACATTGTAAGCACGTCACGCAGCTTACCAAACTGTTCTGTACAGTTTAGTTTTAAGTCTACTGTGAAAAAAAGATACAGAAGTGCTTTTTAAACGTGGCATAAAGAACTTGCAATTAACATTAAACTCTCCTCGTACTGGTGGCTTTTGGAGGAACCACCCAACGAAAGCAACTGTGGTCCACAACACCACCAGAAATTCAGTATAAATCTGCGCATTTCACGTGCAATTTTAAGATTACTTGATGATACTGATTCACTTGCACCGGCTCTTCGTCAGTGTTGGTATAAAAGTAACCTCGTTAGGATTATTTCTCTATATGTAATTACTACCGCAGATGAAATCTCACTGCAAATGTGAGAACTTAAGTTAGTAAAGAAAATATTCTCAACATTAAAGCCTCCATCTTGTCAATATTAAGTCAGAAACAGTAGCAGTTAATACCAAAAAAACCCCTCTGGCCACAGTTTTAATCTCAATCTCCTTAGAAAAGTTATCTTGTTTAACAGTAAACCATAACCAGAAAGTCAGTAGCAGAAACGAACAGAAAACTCTTCATTAAAAGGGAAAGAAGGCTTACCCTTTCTTCCAGTCGAGCCAGCTGCTCTTTGTAGTAGGCATCATGCTTCTTCAGTTCTCTGTCTTTCTCTTCCAGCTGCTTGGCCTAAAAAAAGAAATAGAAAGATAAAACTGGATCAAGAAAGAGCCTCACTTGCAAAGGAAAAACATCTACGATAAATTATACCAGTAGGGAATACACAGCGGCTGAGAACTGCGGTCTATTAGTTTTTGCCAAACAGTACATTAATAAGATGATGATTGCTGCATTGAAAATGTAAAGAGATTGTCTATTGTACAGGGTTTTTTTCCTTCCCCCCTCAACAGCTGCACCAGTTTGTCCAAATGTCTTTGGAAACGTCACGAAGATGGAACCAAGCATACTCTGCTGAGATTAATTTAAAAAATAAAAAATAAAAAATAAAAAATAAAAAATTAATTTTGCAGATAACTTCTGAACTTCAGGAAACTTGCTCAAGTTACCAAAAAAAATATATGCAGAGCACGAATATTTGACTTTATTTGTTAACTGTTACTAAGTGAACATTTTGACATGAGAATAGCTGAATTTCAATCCACATATTTGTAGGCAGTGGTAAAAAGAATTTTTTTGAAGTAGCTGTTTTTTCTCTAAAACTCCAATTCAGGAATGTGTTTAGCATGTGCTTAATTCTAAACACATGAATGTTTGGAAAGAACCAAATGCTTACATATTTGCAAAAGCAGATCTAAAAAGTACATCTAAAACTCGGCTGTCCTCTTTAATTAGTAATCAGTCTTCTGGAAACTCCTACGTCGGTTACGTATCCAACTAAGCAAGCTGAAACCCTTTACTGTAGGATCACTCCCATGTCCAGTAACTTAAAATAATACAGAAGAATTTTGAACATCTATCTTCTGAATACTAATATGACTTGAGTATTCTTTTAAGAGACACTGCTTCCAGCACTACTGAGCAAGTTGACTTTTTTTGGCTTTTCATCTGTAGTACGTACCAATATGTTGTATTAAGGGGACTCATTAAAAATTCTAAAATACATTAAAATAGCACACATGCACACAGAATACATACAAAGGCACAAGTCCTCCAGAGGAAATACTAGACAAGTGATTTTTAACAAGTTAGGGAGGATTTAATGCCTAAATCATCAGCACAAATTCATTCCAGGCTCATAATGTTTTAATAATCAAATATCTTTCGTGAATAATAATTAACTATCAGTGGTCATTACCACAACTGCCTATTCCACATTAGTCCTTTATCTCTAACATACTATTTTCACCCAGGTAGCGATACGACAAAGCCAACTGCAAAAAGTTCCTATTTTAGCAGCATCAGGTAAAATGGCACACTGTCGTACTCTGCCTACTAAAGATGGTATCTCCAGGTCACGCTCGCAGAAGCACGTCAGAAAACTTACACCACATACTGTGCCAGACTTGTATAGATATAGGATTTCATTTTCTTTGTCAAGATTGGTGGTTTTTTTTTGGTTTTGGCAAATAGTCAAGGAATTAAAAAAAAAAAACCCACAAAAAAACCCCCAAAAACCCACCCTTTGGATTTTTGGTTGTTCCTTACTGAAGTACTTACCTTTTGTTCTATATCCTGAAGCATGTAAAAAAATTAAAAAACTCAAATTAAATTTATTATATAATTAGCAATAGAAGAATGCAGAAAAATGCACGCACATCAGGCTTATCTGTAATCTAGAACAATGCAGAAAACCACTTGTTTGGGTTTTTTTCATGCAACTTCACCAAAAATATCCCTGCTCATCCAAAAAGCACAGAGCCAAATTTTAATTCCACTTGGATGAACCAAACCTTGCCCTCTGCCAACCACCTCACCTTCAGTACAGCGCCATGGAGCACATGACCTGTCCACACCATTGAAATCACCCTTTATTCACTACAAAAAACTACTTATAGGTTTTTTCCAAAGCTGGTTACACTGAATATCCTACAGCCTAACTACCGTGCTTTGTATTGATCATGGGTTTGCTTTTTCTAGATAATCCCTGTATCACCACTCAAACCTGCCTCTTGCTGTGGTTATAGAAACTACTAAAAATTCACGGCAGGTTGAGCCTACCCAGACCATCCTCTTCAAACCCCTAGTACAATACTCCAATGCATTATCATAGTTACTCATACATGAATGTTTTATGTACAACCATCTCATGATCCCTGAAATACTGGCGAACTCAAGAACTTTTGCTTTTGTGCAAGTGGAGTGAACTAGGCCAGTGACAAAGAAAACGTAAAATTAATGTTCCATAACGCTCGTGAGAACTCGGTTAAGTTTTAGTTCTTACAATTCAATAGTGTTTCACACGATTGTATCGATGACCCGAAACTAAGCAGCAAATCTGACTTTGGAAAGCCAATCAGATATAATAAAACCCACACAAGAGCATCATGACTTAATTCACTCGCTCCATTACTGATAATTCACAAGGGCAGAAATTCTCAGGGTCAAGGGCACACTAACAACGGAGGAGATGAAACCCCTCCTCTCCTTCAGGTCCAGCTGATCACTCAGCGTCAATTCTCTCCATCTCACAGAAATAAATATTTGCAAGAGATTAGCTGATACCTCCTCTCCTAGATAAAAATGAGTGAAAGAATGAGAGGCAATCTTCACAACTGCTGCAGATCATTTTATGAAGATGACAAACCCTGAGGTTCAACCAAAAAATCCCTTGCCAAACTTCTCGTACAATGCTAAAACCACCTATACTGTTTAACGCCATGCACAGCTGAAGACTGCACCATGCTCCAGCTGCACTTCCAATTCATGGAAATGCTCTTCTGCATCGTTTTGTATCTTTTATATACAGAAAACGATGTTTTATCCACGATGTCGCTACTAATTTCAACTCAATTTCCAATATTCTGCACATTACAGCACTAAGGGATTTAAGACCCATTCCTCATAAAAACTTACATCACACTGGCTCCATCCACATGAACCGTGATTTAATGTTCAAATACTGTTGTTACTGCTATTGCTTTTCATTTCAAAAATTGGCCAGGACACACGTACATCTAATCTATATAAAATAAAAAAACCCAAACGTGTGGACCTCTGGCTGGTTGGTTTTTTCATTAAAACTCTTCACAGGTGAATTAGAGCTGGCATACATGTGAGCTCTGAAAGCATTTGAAAACTTTCACAAAATTTCAACTGGATCAAGATAAACTCTCAATGACTGATGTCTAGGAAAATAACAATACTCCTACAAAAATGCCTAAAACCTTCCTTAATAGGACATCACAAGATGCCTCAAATTTTTCATAAAAGAGAACTATAGAGCATGAAAGACAAGAAAGCTGAAAGAAAAAAACCTAACTAAAAGCTCCCGAATCACAGAGTGTATTGCTTAGAACACCTCTGTAACAGAGGAATTCAAACAGAAAATACAAATATTAAAAAATTACAACTTCTAGAATGTTGATTTTTACTAAATTACCACAAGATACTCTTGGTAGTGATGTATGCTTCAGGTCTCGCACTAAAGACTCCAGCCAAACGATACACATTTAAGCTGGATCATTTCAGACACTACATCTGCAAGCCACACGCCTGATACTATCCCATTATATGGATCAGCATAAATAAAGCAAGAAATGCTAATATCTTGGATTGAATGGAATTACTGTCAGAAAACATTCACATTTATAAAAAAACTTGAGCACAGATAGATAAAAACTATAATTTTGTTAGAAAACATTACTTTTGAGATTCACATCTACTGATAGTCAATTGAACCTCACATAGATACAATTAATTCTGAGGCAGTTTTGCATTGGCAGAACTGTCCAGAAGACCTGCACGTGCCTCGGAGTTTAAATTCTTTCCATCTGTCTTGCTTGCTGATCAAATACCATTCAAAATAGAGAAACGGATTTGTTTAACAGCATCTGATCACTATATGAAAGACAATATGAGCAGGGGAATGCAAACTACATTTGTTCCAAGGATATCCATCTGAATGCAATTTTTTACCCTTGGAAGTTTGTTTTGCCCTGGAAAGTTTGTTGGGGTTTTTGGGCTCTTTTTTGCATTTGGTTTCCTGTCCTCCAAAATAATCCCCCAAGGGATCAGGTTAGGAAAGCTAAAGCCCTGATAGAATTAAATCTAGCCAAGGACGTCAAGGGTGACAAGAAAAGCTTCTATAGGTACGTCAGTGATAAAAGGAAGACAAGGGAAAATACAGACCCTCTCCAGAAGAAAATGGGAGACCTGGTTACCCAGGACATGGAGAAGGCTGAGGTACTCAATGACTTTTTTGCCTCAGTCTTCACCGGCAAGTGCTCCAGCCACACTGCCCAAGATGCAGAAGGTAAAGGCAGGGACTAGGAGAACAAAGAACCACCCACTGTAGGAGAAGATCAGGTTCGAGACTATCAAAGGAACAAGTCCATGGGACCTGATGAGATGCATCCACAGGTCCTGAGGGAACTGGCAGATAAAGTTGCTAAGCCACTATCCATCATATCGGAGAAGCTGTGGCAGTCTGGTGAAGTTTCCACTGACTGGAAAAGGGGAAACATAACCCTCATTTTTAAAAATGAAGACCCAGGAATCTACAGGCCAGTCAATCTCACCTCTGTGAGAGCCCAGCAAGATCATGAAGCAGATCCTCCTGGAAACTATGCTCAGGCACATGGAAAATAAGGAGGTGACTGGTGACAGCCAACGCAGCTTCACTAAGGGCAAATCGTGCCTGACAAATTTTGTGGCCTTCTATGATTGGCTAACAGAGCTGGTGGATAAGGGAAGAGCAACTGATATCATCTACCTGAACTTGTGCAAAGCATCTGACACTGTGCCACACAACATCCTTGTCTCTAAATTCAGAGCTGAGGTCAACAGCTCAATGTCCAAGTAAAGACCAGCAACGAGTGGCTTTCCTTAGGGGCGGTATTGGGACATCTTTGTCAGCAACATGGACAGCGGGATTGAGTGCACCCTCAGCAAGTTTGTCGACGACACCAAGCAGTGTGGTGCGGTCAACATGCTGGAGGGAAGGGATGCCATCCAGAGGGACCTGGACAGGCTGGAGAGGTGGGTCCATGCAAACTGCATGAAGT